GGGGGGGGGGGGGAAATTAAGAAACAGAAGAAATTAATAGGCCTAAATGCAATACTGTTTAAATAAACTAATATTGTGATTCTGTGGGTTTTGGGACATCTTTTTAGAGTTTAAAGGGTCTCTGTCAAGGGCTGTTTAAGCCACAAATTTAGGGTTTGTTATAAGTGCTTTACAAAATAAAATGTTAGACATTTTCCTAAAAAGGAGGAGGGGGTGAGAGAAACCAGCCTTGTTTGTGTATGAAGTCTCCCCTGTGCAGCATTTGAAATTCAACAGTGCGTGGGAACCAGGAAATGAAACTTGACTATTGACAAAAAGAAAAAGTAATGCTGTGCATAGGCTGTTCAAGCTGAACTGGGTTAATAAAAAGTAACATACAGCACACAGTGAAATCTGAGGTTCTCATTTGGTAATCCGAGGCAAGCACGCAAAATGCTGGGCCCACGTACAAAATGAGAACCTGTTTGAATGAAGTGGTCAGTGGTAATAATTTCAGATATTACAAACAACAGACATAGGTAGATAGAGGTCTTTTCAACGTGTGTGTGTGTACACACATCTACATATACGCATACACATCTATCTATAGATATACACACACGTTAAAAAGGCATACACACAAATTGTATATGCGTGTATGTATACATATGATCTGTGTATATATATGTACACATGTATATATAGTATCTACACATGTAGATACTATATATACATACACGCTAAATACATATATATGAATGATGTATGTCTTTTTAGCATGCATATATAGTATGTACATGTGTACATATACATAAAATCTATACATAGATCATATGTATACATACATATATACATACACATATATACACGATGTGTGTATGCCTTTTTAAACATGTATATATGTAGTATGTACACACGCACACGTTTAAAAGACATCTATCTACCCATGTCTGTTGTTTGTAATATCTGAAATTATTACCACTGACCACTTCATTCATACAGGTTTTCATTTTGTACGTGGGCCTAGCATTTTGCATTCCTGCCTCCGATTACCAAATGAGAACCTCAGATTTCAGTGTGCTGTATGTTACTTTTTATTAACCCAGTTCAGCTTGAACAGCCTATACACAGCATTACTTTTTCTTTTTGTCAATAGTCAAAATTCATTTCCTTTGATTGCCAAATGAGAATCTCAGATTTCACTGTGTGCTACATGATATATATGCTACTATATCTATCTATCTATCTAGAGAGGGAGAATGAAAACATACATGGAGAATATATAGATAGAATATATACAATATTGAGTTTTAAGCAGATAGCATCCTTTTTCTTTCAAGTAAAAATGAAAAAGTCCCATATTCCTGAATTAAATCTTATTTGAAAATATCCATCTATTTCTATTGCACAGCAGAAGTTTCATCAACAGGGCACCTTTAGTCACTGTAAGGATCATGCCAAAGTTACCATACAAAGCTCCATGAATTAAATTCTGCTCTCAGTGACACTGGTGTAAATCCAGTGTAGAATGTCTTTAATATGAAGCCTTATGGCTTAGCTCTGTTTGAGTAGCATATATAAAGATCTTGCTGAAGAAGCAAAAACAGACTACTTTTGTGCATGGCAGGGAGGCTCAGGAGCCAATATCCAACTATGCTCAGCGCCAAGTAATCTGGAAGTCGCTTGATTTTAAATTGTTTTTCCCTAATAAATGCCCCTTTCGTTATATTAGAGAGACCCACATACTTGGTTTATGATGGAGAAAAAAGGGACGGCTTGGCAGTTTTTAACTAGTGAATATTTACAGAAAAACCATTCCCCTGATAGACTACACTCTTAAATACAGACTAAAAAGGGAAATTCATGTGTTTGAGTTTCCCCCAGAACAAAGTCCTACATTTATTGGGATTGGGTGTGTCCCCATATGCAAGGGCATCCGCTCACAGCAGCAAAACTAGTAGCAACACAAATTTGTGCTGCTACTTTTTGCTGCTGTGCACACGTCTGCACGTGTGCTTTGGTGTGGGGCAAAATGCCCCGCTTTGCACAAACTGCCTTTCCTCCACTTCTCCCAGCTCCTGGCATGCTGGAAGAGCCAGAGTGGAGCTAAAGGAGGGGAGAGACTCATGTGTCCCTGGAGGACCAAGCCTCCATATCTGTAGGCGCACACTCCTGTAGTGTGCACCATGCTGCTTTTTCACGGCATTTTGGGGTTTTTTTGTGCTACTGGGATTTTCTGGAAGCAAGTTTTGCCCCCCAAACTGCAAATCTGCAGCACAGGGCACATTTTCATGTGCCAGGCACATGTTTTGTGGTGCCACAACGAGGTTTGTAGTGCCACAACGAGGTTTGTAGTGCCACAAGCCACACATGCCTGCATGCCTGGATCCAGCCATTGCTCCTGTTGTATACAATTTATAACAAAATGCGAGCTTGGACTAGGTTTGAGGCCTCTTTTCAGGACGGGTTTGGCCAAAACCATCACTCGTTCTGTTTTGGTGTGGTTCCCACTGAAAGCCAGAACAAATGGCAAGTTTGCCAAATTTCCTTTTTTAACTTCTCAGGTTCAAAAATAAACTTGACAGACAAAACTTCAAGGGGTCTAAATGCCTATTAACTACAACTTGAACACAAAATGCTGTCAAAACCCACGGAGAGCAAAATTGCTGGTCTTACAAGCCAAACACTTAACTTGTATTTCATCAACGGCATAGGGCTTCCAACAGAAGAGAAAGCGGGGTTGGGGGAGAGACAGAGAGACTTGGACAACCAAAAAAAACAGAAAAAAACAAAACAAAACAAAACAGGTTCACAAATGAATTTCAGAGTTTACTGAAATAACATCCTCCCCATCTCACTGAGGCTTAGTAGGAAGGAAATGGTATTTGAAGAAGATTGTCTATGACATTAAAGTGCTTATTCAGAAAGCATGGGCAGTTTGGAAGTGTACAGGGAAGGATTGTCAAAAAGCTGCTGAAGGCTTTAACCGCCTACCTTTTGTCCACATTTCGGGGGAAAAAATTCAGTGGACAGTGGCTGCCTAATTCCTACAGGTTCCTTTGAAAATCCCTCCCACAATACCTGTATGGACATAAGTTGAATGCTGCCTTCTCACCCCAAGAACAATGGGAGAGCAAAGCATATTTCGTAGAGAAGGGACAGAACAGGCATGTTTGAAAGTCTTCTTGAGAAGATAAATTAACACACATTTAACCTGTCCTTCATACAATGCATTCACTATAGAGGCTCTGTGGTCGCACAAACAGCAAAGTTAATTACTCTCCAAATAGATCGAGAGAGAAAGAAGAAAGCTACACTTTTTTTTTTCTGGACAAACAAAACTTTGTGGGGCTAACAAGGTCATTAATTATGCTCAGTATTAACCGAGTGAGACATAATGGATGGGAGAAGTGAGACTAGGTTTGAATTAAAAATATCAACACGTTAATACATTATCATGGCACTTACATTTCTCCTTAAAAGGAGACTGACCAAACAACCCTCTAAAAAGCAAATGGTATTTTTACTGAATATTGGATGAGTTCAAAATGACTGCAAGCCCCTTAGGGCAGCAAGTTAGGCATTTTTAAAGCTGTGGGTTTCTTTTTTTTTTTTAAAAGCTATTTGCCTACAATCAGGGGGAAAAGCAGCAGCATCTGGGACCAATTTTCCTTCCAGACACACGTCCAACAGAAAAAGCTGTTTTTGAGAAATGACACAAAAAAAGAGGGGGGGGGGGAGAGAACGTGTCTTAACTTTGTTGACCCAAGTGTAAAATCCACGGTACTTACTGCAGGTCCTGAAAAACACAAAAACAGAGAGAACAAACCACTTAATGTTAACGGCAAAGAGGAGACATCAATGCAGCAGAGCACACATTTCTAGTCTGAATTAAGTTTGAGAGCTGTCCAAGCGCGGTTAAAGCACACCATTTGGAGACTGATTTTGGATGGAGTTACAGGTGTGTAGGAATATTCTTCCGCTAAAATCTAGTCTACTCTCATCATCATCCTCTTTCAAGACCCTACAGCAGACAGCATCAATAGGTGCAGTACTGCAAGACTAAGTACTGATGCTTGAGTCCATGAGCCACCAGGGTTAAGTTCTCACTCCTGCCGGCAATGCGTATAGAATAAGGCCAAGACTGCTTCCAGCCACACGTGGGACCAGGGACAAACCCCCGAGCCTAGGCACAGGAATACCAGCGATGCTCTGTTCTTACTGGCATGCTCATTTTGCTCTGGGGTGTCTAGGCATGCCGAGGGAATAAGGCATACCAGCCCCGGAGCCTAGGGCTGGCCTGAGGTGCGGAGCTAATGCAGCAAAGTGTTCATGTTGCACGCTCCATCCCCTGGCTTGAATGCATGGCAAATTATCCAGCCTGTTTAACACATGGGCATGCAGTATTGAACTGCGTTGTCCCAACACGCTCTTTCACCCCTGGAGCAGGCTGCTGATGCACAGGAGAGAAGCAACCTGCTGTGCCCAGCAGAGCCCCCAATCCAAAGGTGGTTAAAGCAGACAGGTGCCCATTAGACTCAACAGGAACTCGGTCTCATGCTGTGGTCGTGGCCATGAGGGGAGTGGAACAGGCAGCTTCCCTCGTTCCCCTGAGGTCACTGCCAGGAAAGCCGCAGACAGCTCCAGGCAGGTCTGCAGCGTCCCCCCGACACGGCATCGCGGAGGCGAGCATTTGGACCACGGTCGAATGGGACAGGCGTTTCCCTCCTGCTCCAGAGGTTTCTTACTCTGCACACACTGGGCCTCGTCATACTCCATTTCCCGCATGATCCAAACCAAATAGGGGATTAAATGAAAAAACATCAAAACGTGGGAGAAATTAAAACAGAGGGAGATTAAAGAAAAAACCCAAAGCTTCTTGGAAGCGTCAGATGAGAAGCACATTGCTGGCTGGTTATGCAAATGTTTTCAAGGTCTTAGTTTTCTGCCCCATCCCCCCAATGTGCTTTAAAACATTCATATATCTCAGATGAAACAATAAAAACAAACCCTCATGGTCTGCAGAACTAGGACCTAAACCAAACACTTAGGGCGGGTGGCAGGACCTCCTGCCAGAAAATCAGCCCGAATGCTTTAGTGGGTGAAGCCCAGTGCGTATCCAGCACTTTGCCTAGACTTGGACATCCTGCAGGCTAGAAAGAAGAACAGCCCTCTCCCACAGATGGGTTTGATCCTGGGCATCTTGGCACCCCTCAGGATCAGGTCCACTGTCTTTATTTCCGACATGCTCAGGGTTGTTCTGTTGCTCTTGTGGATTTAATTTCTTATATACCACTCCTTACCTGGTCTAAACTGACAAAGAGCTCCAAGCCAGTTTGGTAGTTGAGAACACAGTCCTTTACACCAACCTGTTTCATAATTACATTTCTATCGGCTGCCTTGTGAAATCTCAAGCGACACGGTCAGAAAGTGATTTGAATACGGGATCTCAGTGATGCTGCTATTTTAATACCAGGGCCTTTTCCCCCACTTCATTCAGTACTGAATCTTTCAAACACATGTAATCAACTGTGATGTCTGAACTGCCAACCCGTCTTTTCTAATGTCTCCCCATTGGTTGCGAGAATTTAAAATCGGGTGGATTGCTCTACATAATCTTTTGTAATATGCAGTACAGGGCCCCGATGTCCTGATTAATGTGCCCGATTTACAGTAGATTGTTACTAATGAGAGCTGAATTTGCCTAGGGTCTTTCATTAACCATTAAAAGAAAGGAGGCAGAGCAGCCTTTTAATGGACTTAATTTGATTTATTTTGCCCAGGAACATCATTTGCCCCTGACTTAATAACGAGCTGTGAGACACTCTCCTGACAAAGACTACTTTTTTTTTCTTCCTAAAAATGCAGCGATAAATGTGAAAGTCCATGATGTACCAGGGAGCTCTCTGGCTCTGCCTAAGCCAAAGCCATGCTGCATGAGAGACGCTCCCTTTCCAAGAAATTAGCCAAAATTGTATGAATAATAGAGCTGGCTAGCGCAAATTGTATGCAACATTCCTCAGAAAGGAAGGAGCCAGTTGGAAGCGATTATTATAATGAATAAAAATACAAAACCACCTGTGTGATTTTTTTAAATGGGCTTTGAGGCTACATTTTGGGAAGGAGAATGAGATGGAAGAATAACTGACTGAGCAGAATCCAAACAGTTTCTGACAGATGCTCCAACAACAAACCCAACGTCGGAAAGCTGCCGTTCGCACCTAGACTGTGTAGCGGGCATTATTGCTAGATCTGAACTCCAACAGTAGCAACTTTAAAGATCAAATTCTGAAAAACATTCGAGAAGGCTCACAGTCTTGCCTACAACATGTTGGCTTTGCTGGAGGAACATGAACTCTGGCAAAGCGAACTGACCCAGATTTAGTTATTAATGATTTTTATTAAATGTTTTTATTGTTGTAGCAATTGCAGGGCCCCAGCGTGGCAAGCAATGAACACATTTATAGTACATGACAGTCCCCTCTCCAAAGGGCTTACTGTCCATTGTTTTTTTGCAATTTTGGAATGCACTATCCGATTTGTTAAAATGAGGCCAGGGAAGTAAGAGCAACAGATATATGGGGCAAAGACCAAAGACACCAGTAAGGACTTTGCAAGCATTCAGGGGCTGATGTTACATCATTAAAGACAGTGGGAGCTTTGCTATGGACTTTGATAGACACAGCATCAGTGTCTGAGATACCATGCCTGTATCCGATTATCCTCAGAGGTAAGCTAAAGGCTGAAAAATGAAAATCCTAGATATACGCATATTGTAAACCTTCATAAGAGACCAAAATATCCAGTTCGTGTTGCACTTATCCACTTACATTCTTGTTCTCATGGCTGGCAGAGAAGGCAACCATCCTCTACGGGGAAAAGGTTGTTAAAAATGCCATTAACTCATTTGTTTTCTTGCAGTGTTGTCCCCTTGGTTATTGCCAGTATCCAAGCATTTTTTCTTGCATTTCAGAAAGATGCTTGGGGAGAAGTTTAAGTGACAGAGACATTCAGATAGATCACAGGCCTGATGTGTGAGAGGGCATTCATTTTGCTTCCAACTACAGTGTATTTCTGTCCAATAGCTATTACATTTGTGCCTGTAAGAATGCCTTATTTTAAAGGAAAATTCAAGACAGATATAAATGCATAGCTTGAAGGATTTTTATTATGAGTTAGAATGTAACCAAGTCCCAGGTGTTTCTCTCCTGGCTGCCAGGAAAGGGCTTTGGTTTTCAGGACAAGCTTTAATCCTGGGTACACAAGCCTGTCAAGGACTCACTTCAGCCATAAAATGTCACCATACGAAACGTTAGACAGAAGTTGCGAGTTACATCAGTCATTAAACTTGGACCTGAACACCAAATCCTGGATCTGACTCACCCAGGAACCTTAGGGAAGTCCAGGGCTGAATTTGAAGTTCACAGTTTAGCCCATCACAACCCGTAATATGCTGGTTTGGTTCAGTTCACTTGAATTCTGTGCATCTAATTGGAAGGGGAGAGCTAACTCCATGTCATTTCTTCTGCGCCCCTGACCTAGAGACTTAGCTCATTTGAGACTCTTGCAGACAAGGGCACAGTTCTGCAAGAAGGGGAAATATGGATCGAGAAACTGAAGTCTAATGAATAAAGCCTTCTGAAGTACAGCGTATAAGTCAAATGAATAAACGAAACAAAGCTGTGGGTACTATCTATCTATATATATTTTTTTGCACTACAGTAGTGAAGTACTGTACAAACAAAATAAATGGGGGTCCCTGCCCCAAAGCTCTTATAATGCAAGTAACTTTGTATGGCATTTAATGATGCGAGTTACTACGCTACCATCACATTTTTACAGACTGGAAATAATTTGTACTGTTTGGAACAGGAGCTGTAAATGAAAATGTGGCTATGTAATGATTAATCCTGCAAAGATGTAGGCCTGATGTAGTGAAGACGACGACCACCTGTTCCTCAAGAATGCTACAGGATTTCTGGAGGAGTGAGACATAGGCAAGAGCCACTGGCTGAATGCTTTAGTATCCAGCACATACGCAAACACTTCTGTCCTCGGAAAACAGCTGTCCTAGGTTTCTTACGAACATTCACTAAACCAGATGGGTCTTGTCCATTGTGGGGAAATACAGCATGTTAGAAAATGCTCTGGATAACTTGATGCTGAATAAGAACGTGCCCTCAGTATGCAGGATGGTGATGTTTAAAAACGTATTAGCTGGCTGTAATAAACATGAACCAGCTAGTGGTTTTCAGCTTTGTTTTTCCTGGTTTCCTCCAGGTGCTGAGTGAGGGTTGACGTCACATCAATTAGGCCATTTTCTAATGCGACTGATGCGTGTCCTCAGGGCAAACGTGGCTGTGGTGCCAACACTTTAAAGGCGCTTGCTCCTGCTCACCCAGTAAATTTGCAATGCCTGCTTTCTTCACCATGCAGATGAAAGGCCACCTAGGATGTGGCTGCATTGAGTCAGTCCTCCTACGTCCACCCCATGATGCAGTGTTTCCTGTGATGTTAAATCAGCCCCAGTCCTAGTATGAGTCTGGCCCCTATGAGAAGATGCTTCAAGGATCCTGGAAAGCACCGATGTAATTGTGGTTCTGTAAGGGTTTGTCCGGAGAAGATATGGAGAACAGATTGGTCCAGTTCCCTCCGCACCTCGCACCCAGAGCCCTGTTGTCACTCTTGGTTTGGTCAGGGTCACCTCTGGCAATTATCACTGGTGCCCACATGTCACCAGCAGGGATTCGGCTTCTTCAGCCATGGGATGTTGTTCCAAGAAGAAGGATTGCTAGGAAG